CGTATCATATACCTTATTTTTGTTCATTTAAAAAAGAAATAGCACTGTAATTTTAAAAATTGAAACCAGGATTCAATTTGAAAATCTCTCTCCAAGATACAGATCTCTACGATACACTGGCCCAAACCTCTCCCTGAGCACTTTTTGTCATAGTTCTCACTGCCATTGCCCTGCTCCATACCCCATCCTGAGCACCTCTTACTTCTCTTACGTTCTCACTCCACCCTTACTTCAGTCTCCTGGGCCTTTGGACCCTTAATCTTAAAATCAAACTTCCACCTAAGAATTCCAATACAGTATCAATTTCTCAGAGATTTTTCCCACTCTCCTTCCATGTCACCTGAGTATGAAAATCTGCATTTTCTATCCCAACGTCTTTGCCTGGACTGCTAAGCTTTGTTAGAAAGAATTACCTAGTCACTCCAATTAATGACATAAATACATCACATCTAACTTCAATTAAGGCCCACCTCTACCAGTAATTTATCCTCCCAGGATTTCCTTCATTTCAAACACCTACTATCCTTGTAGATTCCCATGCACACAGCAATTTCAAGTAGGGCCCTTTTTTGTTTCTATTACAGATTTATGAAGATATTCATCTTCTCTCTCTTTCTCTCTCTCTCTCTCTCTCTCTCTCTCTCTCTCACCCTCTTCTCTCTTCCTCACCTCTCCAGTCTTCTCCTTTGAAGCTGAGCACCCCATTAGTATCATAATAATCATCTCAAATTACAAATTTCTCAAAGTACAAATTACAGCACAAAGGCTGCAAGTCATCCCTACTCCATCCCTCCTGTGAGCACACTAACTCCATTAACACTTAAATATATTAAATAGTAAGTGCTACAAACAACAACTAAAGCAAAACTAAGTAAAGAAAAACCCAGTGGAGGTGCAGCTACAGCTAGTGAGTGCCAGGACCAGCTCGCCCACTCATGACCCCAGAGCCAGTTTTCCTGACATCACCACCTCAAACGAGTGAAAATACAATCTGTTTTGCCCGTGTACATGTCTTAGTTTTTATTTCGTTGCTACTTCATAACTGTAATTTTACTACTATTATGAATTGTAATTTAAGTAGTTGATATATAACTCCCATGCAAGTGTTGTTTGACCCCTAAGGGCAGTCTCGGCCCACAGGTTGAGAAGCACTGAACCAGACCACAGTTGAGTTGATAAAGGTGAATACAATAGTAAGAACAGGACAATGGAGTTTTTAGGATTTTCTCAGCTCACAGAGTTAGATACCTATGCAGTTACAATGCCTCAAACCAGTGCTAAAGAGCTTGGAATGCCCTGGAGAATTGCTGATATTTGGTCTTCATTGAAAGTTCAGAGAAATTGGAGTTTATTGTCAATGGAGGGCTGCAGCAGCGTAGATAAGTGCACTTGGAAGGTGTCATGGCAGGTGTCAATATTCCTTTTACCCAGGATCTCTTTTTATCTGGGTCATCAGTTGAGAAACACTGCCCACTCTTAGGTCTTCATCAGTTACCCTTCTCAGTTAGCACCTTGCAGACATGCGCAGAGGTTTGACTCCTACATGATTCCAAACCCTATCAGGTTGAAAATAAATATCAACCATCAAGAAGTTCTTTGAGATAAGATTTCCTTAGATGGAAAGCTGCTTCAAGACTATTGGCCCAATCCATTCCCCGTTAGACAAGTCTCTGGGGCCTTTCCAGCAGGTCACTACTGGCATCTTGACAAAGTGGAGGTTCACAAGGTTCACTAACTTCCCTTGATGACTTCTCAACTCAATCTTGAAGAAAAATTGCTCTGGAAATGCTCTCACCTTCCCTCCTATGATGCTGTAAGCAACATGTAGAAAATAGACTATCAAACTTGAGTGACAGGACACCCATTGCTTCAATAGGCAAAGGGAGAATTTAATTTTTTCTTTTTTAATTTATTTATTTTTTATTAATTACAGTTTATTCACTTTGTATTCCAGCTGTCCCCATCCCTCATCCCCTCACAATCCCACCCTTCTTTCCTCTTCTCCTCCCATGCCCCTGCCCAAGTCCACTGATAGGTCCTCCTCCCCTTCCATCTCATCCCAGCCTATCAGGTCTCATCAGGACTGACTGCATGTCTTCCTCTGTGGCCTGGTAAGGCTGCTTCCCCCCTCAGGGGGAGGTGATCAAAGAGGCAGCCACTGAGTTCATGTCAGAGACAGCCCCTGTTCCCATTACTAGAGAACCTATTTGGAGACTAAGCTACCATGGGCTACATCTCTGCAGGGGTTCTAGGTTATCTCCATGCATGGTCCTTGGTTGCAGTATCAGTCTCAGAAAAGACCCCTGTGCCCAGATATTTTGATTCTGTTGCTCTCTTTTTGGAGCTCCTGCCCCCTCCATTTGCTCAACCATGTTCATAGCAGCTTTATTTGTAATAACCAGAATCTGGAAAACAACCCAGCTGTCCCTCAGCTGAGGAATGGATACAGAAATTGTGGTATTTTTACACAGTGGAATACTACTCAGCAATTAAAAACAAGGAAATCATGAAATTTCTAGGTAAATGGTGGGAACTACAAAAGATCATCTTGAGTGAGGTATCCCAGAAGCAGAAAGACACACAGGGTTTATACTCACTTAAGTGGATATTAGACATATAATATAGGATAAACATACTAAAATCTGTACACCTAAAGAAGCTAAAGCAAGAAGAAGGACCCTAGGTAAGATGCTCAGTCCTCACTCAGAAAGGCAAATGGGATGGACATCAGAAGAAGAAGAGGACAGGGAACAGGACAGGAGCCTACCACAGAGGGCCTCTGAAAGACTCTGTGCAGCAGGGTATCGAAGCAAATGCTGCAACTCACAGCCAAAGTTTGGGCAGAGTGCAGGGAATCTTACAAAAGAAGGGGGAGATAGAAAGACCTGGAGGGGGCAAAGGGAGAATTTAAACTGGTAGAACACATAGTTGTCTGACACGTCCTTTAAGACTTCACATCCCCATCACTCCTGTGCCATTTTCACTCTTTTGAAGCTCTAAAATTTTTTATATTACCTTCGTATCAGTTGTTTAATGACTTTATCTTTCCCACTTAATTATCCCACATGACTTTTTAAACTCATGAATGGAATGATTATGTCATGATTCTGGGTCAAGAGTCAGTCAGTAAACATTCTCTGGAGTTATTTTATCCCACTGACATTTTATGTGCAGAACTGAAAAATGCACTTTTTTTTTCACTGAAAAAAAAAAGCCCTTTAGGGGCTTAAACACTGTTTCGATGTTAAGAAACTTTATTGACCTTTCAGAAGACTATAGTTGAGTACCAATAGAGGGTGGGCCACAACTCATAATAACTCTAGCACTAGGGGTTCTGACACCCTATGCTAGCCTATGAGGGCAACTGCATGATCACCAGCAAGCACCTGCACACACACACTGAAATAAATCTTTAATATATAATCCAAAGGCCAGAAATTACACATCTTTATAATCCCAACTCCTTCAGTAGGCTGCAGCTGGAGAAATGCAAATCCAGGGCCAGCCTAGACTACGTAGTTAGACATGTCTTCAAATAAAAATAAAACAAAAAACACTAGCTATGACTTTTTAAATTGACATGTAAGGATCCACATTCAAAAATCAAGTCTGTGGGCATAGTCATATTGTTATTTATCTATGGCTGGTTTCACGCTAATATGCCAGTTAGTGGCTATAACAGGAGCGGCACCTCCACAAAGTTAAAAACACAATATGCTTTTGCAGCCTGTCCCTTGGGAGAACTTTCATAGTACTTACTATGGAGCACACGCAGAATATTAGCACCTGAAAGTTAGTAAGTGATTATTGCCATCTGTTAGGATAATGTGGAATGAATAAATAAACACAAAGATGACTGCATGCAAAGAAAAGCTGAGACAAATTATTGAGACATAAATAAATACATCATAAGTTATAAGCATACAAATACTTGATCTTTCTACTTATGCTTCTTAAGTAAGTGAAAATAGGGCTTGTTCATTTGCCCTTTGCAGATTAGGGTCATGTGAGCAAAGTCAGTCTGCTGATTACCTTTGGTCATCTTGACACAAAGCAGAGTCACCAGGGAAAAGAATTGAGAAATTGACCCCATCAGTTTGGCTCTGGGCATGTCTGCAGCCATTTTCTTGTTTTATGATTGATATGAAAAAGCTTAGCCCTCGGAGGGCGGTGTGACCACTGGGCAGGTGGTCCTGAGCTGTGTAAGAAAGTGAACTGAACACGCCATGGAGGCAAACCACTAAACAGCATTCCTTCGTGATCTCTCCCTTTGGTTCCTGCCTCCCAGCTCTTGTATGAGGCCCTACCTTGGCTTCCTTCCATGCCAAATAAACCTTTTCTTCCCCATGTTGTGTCTGTTCAAAGTGTTTGTTTGGGCGATAGAAACCAAACTATGACAGTCAGAATTACCAAAAGTAGCAAGCACTTATCTGAAAGCATTGCTGCGATGGGAGCACTAAGGAGGTATATGATGAGGGAAGAGCGCAGGAAACAGCCCCATCCTGTACCCTCTGTGCCTGCTGAAAACGCTGTCCCCTTAAATCATTTGACAGTAGTTACTATGTTGCTTTCTGCCCACTTACAGGGTGTGTGTTAACCTGAAATTACAAACTGTGCCAGGCATTGGAACTCATGGCTGTACCTTTCAAACCTGGAAACTCAATAGGAAGATTGTATGTTTGAGGCCATCTTGAGCTACTAACAAGATGCTACCGCAAAAACCTAAAATAAATAATGAATGAGTTGTAAGTCATAAGCACACGGATATTTAGTTTTCCCTACCCATTTATAGAATAAAGAAGATTGCTATATTGGTTCACCTTAATGTTTCTTTTCCAATTTGTTGGTGGTGGTGACATAAAAAAATTTAATAATAATCAAGGGACTGGTTATTAGCGCTGATAAAGATCCTATATTGTCTTTCAGAAAGCAAGGACACAGGTTTCCTGTGCCCCCAGCCTTCCTACTACAAGCAAGGACTGTGTGGAGACTGCTCAGCTATGTCAGAAACTTCCTCCCACGACTCCTTCTATGATTCTTTATCAGACGTGCAGGAAGAGGGCAAAAATGCTGACTTCTTCCCAGGGCTCTCTGCTTTTCTCAGCCAGGAAGAAATACACAAAAGCCTTGACCTGGCCCGCAGAGCTATAGACAACTCTGAAACTGAAGATTTTGACTCAGAAAAGGAGATCTCACAGATTTTCAGCGAGTCTTCCATAAGCCTCTGCGAATCTCCTTCCCACAAGGAGACCAAATCCTGCCAGCAGGCTCCCTCAGAAAGACCTCCGGATAACAGGCCAGCTCCTGTGCAGCCTCTGGTAGGAGAGCAAGCTGAAAGGATCAGTTCCCCAGCTTCAAAGAGGAAAGCTGCGGTACCACCCCTGCTGGCCAGTCCCAGCTACATCCGGAGCCTCCGCAAGGCTGAAAAAAGAGGTGCAAAAATCCCCAATCCAAGTGCAAAGCCCAAAGCTGCCCAGCAAAGCAAGGCTGGCCCCCAGAGCCAACTGTGCGACAAGGCTGCTAGTTTCATCGAGGAACTGACATCCATATTTAGAGAGGCAGCAAAGCCAAGAAACAGAAGCCCAAATGGTGAGTCCTCGTCACCGGACAGTGGGTATCTGTCTCCTAAAAATCAATCATCAACCCTGATGACTGCCTCAGCCAGCCAGAGCCCCACTGGAGACCAGCTAGACCAACAGGAGATGGAAACAGAGGTCATGCTACCTGAGGCCAGCCTTTGCTACCAGGCCCAGCAGGCCCCAGAAGCGGCCTTCACCCACAGCCCTCACCCACAGCCCCAGAAAGCCTGCCACTTGCCGACTGCACCTCGGTTCATTCAGAAGCTGAGGAGCCAAGAAGTCGCCGAAGGAAGCAGAGTTTATTTGGAGTGTAGAGTCACAGGAAACCCAACTCCCAGAGTCAGGTAAGAACTCTTTTATTATGAATGTCAAATGGTTTTGTTGACTTCTGGTGCTACTTCAGGGGAGAAGATGTGAGAACTCGTGAATTGTTAGTTCTCTTGTCTCTGTAGTGGAATTTTCTTAAAACCCTGCCAAACAAAAAGCACACCAAAGAGGCATCACCACAGGTGTCCCAGGTGAGGTGGGACAGGCTTTGTTGTCACCATGGGCCAATCTGTGCATTCAGAGAAAAGGAAGTAGAGTTGAAGAGGCGATGAGTAATATCGGCAGGCTGTTATAGAGGAGTCTAGATTTTACAAAACCTAGGGAGTGTAAACTGTGGAAATGAATTATCCAAAGGAGAAAAGAATTCTTTGATCATGCGTCACAGAAGAAAGTAAAAAATTATCACAAAGCTAGAAGTTATCCTGAGGGGCAGAGATGAATGTCTGTAGAGCACACGTAGATGGGCCCCAAAATAGACATTCAATCAAAGGCCTTGTACCTAGTGTTACTGGTTTATTAATTGTGTCCAATTTCTTAATTGCAAGTAGGGATTAGACCATAAAAATGAGCAATCGTTGACTTATTTAAATGTTTTATCCAAACTATGTATATGTTTGAAAACAAATTCAGATGATTTAATTTAGAAAAATAATGCAGTGGGCTAGGACAGCTGCGTGTCCACACAGACTTGAAATCTTTTGCCTTTCTGTGTGTGTTTATGCACTTCACTGGCATTGGCTCCTTAGTTCATAATCATTGTCCAGAATACAGTGTCAGCGTTATTCACTAGTTAATTTACAGTATCAATTTTCACTGCAGTTTTTGCGATTTTTAAGAAACTGACAGCAGGGGGCAGTAAAAACCTTATAAATGTATTCACCTGGATGCATTGTTCTGTATTTGCGTGTATGTATTTTCCATAGAAATGTAAATGTTTCTTTCAGATTCTATTTGAGATGTTTTCAAACCTACCGATTTTAGGAACAAATAATTGGTGAGAAATGTATTCAAATGCAAAACAGTACCACTGGTTTTGAAACTATATGGTTCAGTTTACCTTTATGTCCAAAATAGTCTCTACCGAATGCGATACAGTGGCAAATATATAACATTTCAAAACTGACCAAAAGTACTCCACTTAGCATCGAATGAGGAGACTGTGATTCCATTTTCAAGTTCACAAAGTCTCTTTGGGGTTGGGGAGTGCCTGGATTTAGACATTTAGTTATTAGCAAAGCATTATTAATTATTTTCTCATGTCATACCCCACTTTAGTGAAATCCATGACATACCATTAGACACTGCAAGTTGATTCCTTCTACAATCATTAAATCTTTGGTAAAAATACTCCATTGCCCATTGTTTAGTTAACAGGCCATTTTGTATCGATTAAAGTTCATTTTTGTTTTCTATTGAGAAGAGTATTGAATGCACAGTGAGGTGGGTGTTTTGTTGTAATTCCTGTTCAAGGGATCTTGGTCATCTTAATTTGGAAGTACACGAAACTCCAAGATCATTAAACTTTATTGACCACATGAGTCATATGATACTCTTAATGGAAAATTGGTATGAAGGCAATTTTGTTTAAGGAAGAAAAATCTTTAATAAAAATGCTCCTACCCTGTCTCAGCCTGCATCAGTCCAGGGACACTGACCTACATGTCAGTGAGACCTAGAGGGCTGGTCTCACTGGCGGGAGGGCTGGCGGGAGGGCTGGCGGGACACCTTCTAAGGATCCAGAAAAAGTTTCTGGATCCTTTCTTGTGAAGAGGAGGGAGTGTCAAGGAATCTGAAGCAATCAATGAGCACAAACCCAACAGATACTTCTTGGTAAACACAGAGGCCCACAGTATTAGGCAGTTGGCAGCTATCGGGGAAAGGGACAGGGTGTGGCCAGGTGGCAGAGCAGTGGAAAGAATGCTCTGTTGGCAGGTTTTGGCAGCAGGTGCCAGGATCCTGAGGTAGGGACTGACCACAGTGAGAAACTTCACTTTTCAACAGTGTAAGCAAGTGAGCAGCACAATCAGAGCTCCATAGGGACAAAAGAAGAGTGCAAGGAAAAGACATTCAGCTCTGATAAAATGAGGCAGAAATTCAGTGACTGCATGTGTGTGTGTGTGTGGTTGTGCCACTATGTGTCTGTGTAAGTTTATGTGCACATGTGTGCCGTGTTCCCAGAAGCCAAAAGAGAGCATTAAACTCGTTGTGAGCCATCTGATGGGATCTGAATTGTGGCCCGCCCGGTCGAGCAGCAAGCACTCCTAACCCCTGAGCCGTTTCTCCAATCTCATACAAGTTGAACTGTTCCATCGTGTGTTCCTCCATGTATGTCCTGTCTTAATAGAGCATAGAGATCAGGCTACCTGACAACACTCACTTTCCTTGGTTTTCTACACTCTCAACTTTTGAGTGAATAAGTAGTTCATGAAACCAGGTTCTGGTACCTGCCAATAATCCTAGTACTGGGAAGACTGGAGCAGATTGATCCTAAGTTTTAGATCAGTCTGACTAGATATCAAAATTTAGTCTCAAAACAAGCAACAAAATGACTTCTGACATTACAAAAAGAAGTCTTCCTCTTCCTCCTCTTCCTCTTCTTCCTCCTCATCTTTTTCCTTCTTTTGAGACAGGGCCCTGCTATGTAGCCCTGGCTGGCCTGGAACTCACTACTATGCAAAATTACGTAGGACCAAGCTAGAAATTCACAGAGATCCGCCTGTTCCTGCTTCTGTAGTGCTGGAATTAAAGGCTTGTGTCACCAAGCCTGGCTCACTTTCTGCTTTAAAAATATTTTTAATGACACTTGTACCTTTTACACCACTTAAATTTAAGAAGCCTTAGACACCAAACATTACAATAATGCACCAAGTAATAGAAATGGTTAATTAATCAGACAGCCTAGAATGTAAGTCAGGTATTTCTCAAAGTAGAAGTGGCAAAAACTACTGTGTAAAAAAATGAGGCAGGGAGGAATTTATCTTCCAAATATTTTCAAAGAAACGGTAGTGTGATAATTTCTGTAATATTTTCTACATAAAGAGAGCCACAGTTCTTCATGATGGTGCCTTCTTTTCTTCGATGCATTAACAATTATCAGTCAGCATGAGCTTTAAAAGAGTGTGCATATTCTCCATGTAATAGCTTTAAAGAAAGCTAAGCCTTCTGGTTTCGGACAGTTTCATGTTCAGATAATTGTAAGGTGAATGCATACATTTATGAAAGGGAAAAATGCTTTCAAACACTCACCTACTGCCGTGATCAGGGACCCAGTAGATGCTTTAACATTTCAGGCGCACTTCCTCCTAACTAATGCCGATTATCTCAGCCTTATTAGTCTTGTAAAGTTTTATTTAATATATATAATTACAATTAATTAAATTCTTTCTTTTTGAAATTAAAACTCAGCACCTCCCATGCCTGCAAGTAGTTTACATGAACAAGACCTTGATCTTCATCAAAAGCCAAAGCAACAAATTATTCACTTAAAATCAGAGAAGCACTGTCTGTGGATGTTTCCGTCCCCTCAAGGACAATCCCAATGAAACCTACCATGGATATTTATCTCAGTAAGGATATCTGCACGGGGTACAGAAATCATGTATGGGCTGTGATGGTTTGGGAGAATATGGCAATAATGCCCCAGCCAGTAGGTTATAACAGTGAAGATACAGATGGCTTAGCCCAGGATTATTCCAAGAATAGTCAACATTGAGATAGCAGCATACCAGCAGATTATCAAAGAACAAAAAACTAAACCTGACAATTACATTTGTTGTTATGATAACCAGTGAGTTTAAGATGTACATACATGAAACCTCTACGTAACATCTCTGTGGATATTTAATCATGTAAAATTATGTAAAAATGTCAAAACTTTCTAGAAGGTCAAGAAAATGTTACTGCAGCCACCATTGGCTCCCTTGTTCTTACTACCCGTCCCCACTTCATCCAACAACCCCCACAGATTCTCCCTTTCAGATCTCCAAAATCTGATTCTTCATCCCATCGCCTCTAGCATGCTCCATTCCAAGCGTCATCCTTTCTCTCAGGTACTTGTATTGCCCTTGGAATAGACTCTCTTGTTCTTCGCAGTCCATATGACACCCATCATAGTTTTTTGTCTGTTTTTTTTGTTTGTTTGTTTTTTGTTTTTTTGTTTTTTTAATGAAACTGTCATCACAGCACTGAATGCAGTGACTTTTTATCTCACACAGAATAAATACACTGTCCTGGCAGGATCTGAGAAGGCCTCTTCTCTTTGATCTATCCCCTACTTCTCACCATTAAAAAGCCTGTTTTAGACACCATGGGACCTTACTGCACTCCCCTCATGGGGGTGTCTGCTTCTTCTGATCCTTGTGCTTTGGGTATTCTTTCTTCATATTTCTCCTTAGGTATCTTTAGGGTATGGCCTTCTATAGCTACCCTATGTTAAAAGAGGTGGGGAGGTCCTGCCAACTCCACACAATTCCACTCTCTGAAAATTCCAGTTTTCTCTATAAAATTTATGACTTACTGTGTTTTACTGGTTTAATTTTACAATAGAATAAAAAAAATTATTGAGTATAAGGACATACTAATTTTTTTTTTCATTTGTGTGTCTCTGGGATCTAAAACAGTATCTGACATATAACAGGTAATCAATAAATACATATTAAATAACTATAGGAGCAAATTCCACTCCAAGGTTTATACCTGGAAGAAAGCTTTGCCCGTGTGTCCTCAATAAAATTGAAAAAAACCTAAAAAGTAAAAAAATAAATTAAATTGCATTATATCCATAATGAATGAACTAGAAGTAGATTTATCAGATCTGAAATTTAAAAACAAAATACCAATCAAGAGCAAGTAACTTAAAAAAGAAGTGCATAGTGGCTCAGTTAGCAGAGTGGTTGGTTACTTGCACAAAGCCTTGAGTTTGATCCCTAAGCACTTCTAATAGAAAAGCAAACAAACAAATAAAAACTGGAATCCAGACACTTAGGCAGTAGAAACAGGAAGCTGATAAGCCCAAAGT